TGTATGTCTTGAATACTGTCATATGGGGTGTGTTTGTCTTTAATTCTGTTGTATGGAGTGTGTTTGTCTTAGATACTGTCATATGGAATGTATTTGTCTTTAAGACTGTTATATGGAGTGTGTTTGTCTTTAATACTGCCATATGGAGTGTGTTTATCTTCAATACTGCCATATGGAGTGTGTATGTCTTAATTCTGTCATATGAAGTGTGCTTGTCTTTAATACTGTTGTATGGAGTGTGTTTGTCTTTAATACTGTCATGTGGAGTGTGTTTGTCTCTACTAATTCCCCTTAATGATGCACGTTTGACATCTGGGGTGTGTTTGTCTTTATAACTGTCAAATGGAGTGTGTTTGTCTTTAATACTTTCCTACAATCATGCATGTTTGACATCTGGAGTGTGTTTGTTTGTAATATGCTTTCGGCGTGCCTTCTTCGAACCGAATTCCTCTCCGCACTCGTCCACAGTGCATGTGAAGACGCTTGAGATACTTGCGAGGTGCCGGTTCATCATATGTTGCACTGTGTCAAACTGTAAGGTTTGCGATTGATCACAACCAGGCCACGTGCACCTAAACACACTATCATCCGTGTGCCTGCGCATATGCAGTAACAGATTGTTCGCACCCCGAAGCTGCACACCACAAGCCTTCGCCTCACTCTTCTCGGCATCGCACCCAACCGACCATGAACACACATACACACCGCCGGAAATGTGCGCGCGAACATGCCGTTTCAGGGGAAGCTCCGACGAAAGCAGCACACCACAGTCGCCAAAGGGGCAATGGATGGGGGGTGCTACATGAGCACGCAGGTGTTTCCTCATAAGGCGTACGTTGTCCTCGGTCACACCACAGCCCACAAATGCACAGGCCCGCCAAGGGCTATCAGCTGCTGTGGTTTTGGCACGCTTGGGTTGTTGTGTGCACACACCACCGGCAGTGGCATGGACTGTGTGGCTATGTGTGGCTGTGGGAAGGAGGGTAGAGTGTGCTTGGTGATCTCTCATCATGTGCCGTTTGATGCGTACGAGAGCAGCACCGTTGAAACTGCACCCTTCCCAGGAGCATGAGTAGATGACATGCCTGATGTGTGTTCTCATATGCTTCAGCACTGCACGCAGTGGTCTGCTTTTGCTAGCACACGAACCCCACGCGCATTGGTACACCTTGGTACGGCGGTCGCGATAGTGTGTCGCCTGCGCGTGCTTGAATACCTCGTGTCTGTAGCATGTATGTGCGCAGTTAGGGTACGGACACGGCACACGCACATGAAATTCTGTCAGATGGCGTCGCAGCGCTTTCTCACTCGTCACACGCACACCACAGCCACTCCACGCACAAAGGTGGGCGTTGGCCCTAGACACCACACCGGTCCCCCCAGATATTTCGGGTGCAGTTGACGGTTGCTGGACGGGCGCGCCTGTCCTGTCCTGTGGCTGTTGTAGTCGGACTGGGGCAGTCTGTGCGGTGGTCGCAGGGCTCTCACCTACAACCGTACCCATACCAGCACCCGACAGTGGGCCATGGGAGTTGTTAGGGCACACACCAGCACCAGTGGGGGTGGAGGATTCTACTTTGATCTGTGCTGAGTCGGGCAACTCGGTGTGTAGCCGCAGGTGCTTGGCCAGGCGTTTGCGTTTTGCAAAGCTCTGGTCACACCCCTCCCACGTGCACACATATGGGCACTCACCCGTGTGCACTCGCATGTGGCGTATGAGCTGCCGATCGCTGCGGAGGGTAGCCCCACACCCGTCCCATTTGCAGTCGAGGCCTCTGCGGTGTGTGCTCTGGTGCTGTGTCAGAGCGTCCTTGTCGGCGTAGCACGCACCACATCCGCCGTGTGTACACATGAACGAGCGCAGCCCACAGTGCGTAGTCATGTGCGTCAGCAGATTATCGGAGCTCACCGCCACACTGTCACAGCCACGCCACGAACACGCAAACGGCGTCTCACCCGTGTGTGCCTGTGCGTGGCCTATAACCGCCTTCACACAGTCGAACAAGGCCGTGCACCCCTGCCACAGGCACACGTACGGTGTGCGCTTGTAGTGTGTGCGGACGTGCCTCTCGAGTGCCTCGTTGCTGGTGCACACCTCCTTGCACCACGGGGCAGTACACCCAGCCCACAGCCCGTCCGTGTGCTCGCACAGATGCCGCAGTAGCTCGTCTCGATCGGCTGCCACAGTCCCACACCCCGGCCACGTGCACACGACCATGCATGCGTCACCCGCCTCAGTGCTGCCACCCACTCCCCCGCCTGTTCCCTCGGTGTTGTGCGGTGCTGAGCCCAATCGCTGTCGCTTGGAGCGTTTTACCTTGCCGATTCCTTGCGCCGGCCGTTTGAGCCTGCCAGCGTCCTCAGCACTCGCTGTAGTGTCTTGTGACTGCGTGTGTGCGTGTGCGTGTGCGTGTGCGTGTGCGTGTGCGTGCGCGGGTGTGGCTGCGTTGCCCACATTCGCTACCAGTGGAGGTGGTGTCGTGAGTGGTCTGTCCGCTATCCTCTCCACATAGGCTCTATCCTGCTCACCAAACAAACCAACGCCAGACACCGTCGCACTACCTCGGGCTGTGGTTGGCTGTGGGAAAGACTCCTCACTCCGTAGCGCAAACGCAGCATCATCGTCGTCGCCGATTGAGAATCCCATGTCTGCGCCCCAGTCTCCAATACAGACGTCCTCGGTGGGCTGTAATTCGGGAGAATGGGACACTTGTGGACAGTCACCCGTGCCAGCTGCGGCGGTATCTGTTGTCGAGTGCTGTGTGCGTGTTGTGAGTTGATAAGTATCGTCGGTAGAGCTCTGGCGCACATCGGCTGTGTCCGCATGCGCATAGCCGTCATCCACAGACGTGACGTCGATGACTGACTTACTGGTCGTGCTACGCGGAGGCACTCGTGGAATGCACACCTTCCCGTCTGACACAGACGCAGCGCTACTCCCCACACTCTCTAACACACTCTGGGGTTCGTGTCCGTGTGCACCCTGGTGCTTCGGACACCCGTCTTCTCTCGTGCATGTCTCACTACACACACTGAGACGGACGTGCCTTACAGTGCCATGCTTGTATCTAGCCCGTGACCGATTGATCGTTGGTATGACCTTTGGTTTGTGCACATTGAGGTGTGCGGCAGAGGCCATGTATCTGGCCTTAGAGCGCCTGATTGTCGGTATAACGGCCCCAGGCGAATCCCCCCCATTCTTTACCAGCTCGTCTGTACCCACCCCTTCACACTCGTGCCTACCTTCACTGACTGCACTAGGGCGCACGCCTACATACCTGTCCCGCGCATCTCTTCTGGACATCTTCACCGCAGCTGTGAGTAGTGGTGGTGGTGGGCTGTGTGGGTGGATGTACGTTCCATTATCTAATCGTAGTGGTGGTGGGCTGTGTGGGTGGATATATGTTCCATCATCTGATTCGCTGATACATATGTACGCCCGCGTGTGCGCCCCATCGGCTGCCGACTGTTCCGGTGCGTCTGCATCCCACTGTTGAGTGTGTGGTCTTTGTGTGGCGGTGGTGGGTGGGTGTGTCAACCTGTTGTTGCTATGGCAACCTACATCCTCATCCACATCGTCCGTAGTACCTACTGATTCCTCAGGGACATGTACAGTGTTGTGGCTGGGTGGTGGGCTGGCTGTAGCATTCGACCCATAATCATTAGACGAGTCATTGGATGGGACCAGTAGTTGCTGCGCTTTAGGGGCTTCGCTCACTTTCTTGGCTTTCTTCGGTTTGCGGGATTCGCATCTCTTCGAGTGTCTGATTTTCTTATGGTTAACCTGTGAGATATATGGACCCTAGATGTTAACACAGCCGACTATAGGGCCACCCACGATAACACAGACGACAACAATGTAACCTATGATATCACAGCCGAGAATATTACAACCTAAGGTATCACAGCCGAGAATATTGTAGCCTACATGCTATTACAGCACTATCCTCTGATGTTGAGGTCGAATACACGCACTACGAGTGCAGTGCCTCTCGTGACAGTCATAGCAGGCGACGGTCTGCGCTTAGTCATCTGTTCAAGAAAATCGAATCGACCGATAACCGATACAGCCGCGAGAGAGACTACACAAAACCATCTGATCACTTGCTCACGGGCCATATTTAGTCCGAATCTACTCTGTGTGGCAGCACTATTTAACAGTCTACCCACATCACCTGATATACATACAAACAATGGGCACGGGCCACGTGTGTCTCAATTGGACCACATGACCACACACTCGAGTGTACGTGCACAACTACATTGTACACGTACGTATACTTTCTGCTTTGAATTCAGTTAGAACAAACGTGTATTCTGAACTTTCAGCTTTTAATACATTTATACAAAACACGTCCATGGAACATCCATGTGCATACACTCCACATATCTCCTAGTGGTACTAAACCAGAAACCCTCGTGGTCGTTCGCCAGTCCAGGGATTGGAAGGCCATTAACAACGAGATGAAATAAGAGTCGTGAAACAAACCAAAAAAAAACACGCGTAGCTATTCTAACATGTGAATCAACAACTCAATGCGTTGGTTTGACGGTTTCTCTCTGAGTCTAAGATGTACATTTGTGATTCAGACAATTCTAAAAACACATATTCAATGAAACAAAATAACCCCTGACGTCGTGTACAACGATTGCAATTCTAGCTATATGTTTACAAGCCACGCAGCCATACAGTGGCCACTGTAGATGAGTACTTGTACTGTCTTTTGGAAAATTATAGTATGCATTGAACTGTTATTTCACAGATATGTGTATGTGGAAAAAAAAATCCTGTATGTTTGTAAGTGTTTGTAACATATAGATCACAATGCAAATTGTATACGGTAAAATGAATTTGATATATATATATATATCTATATATATATATATGTTTATTTATGTATATATATATATACATATACATACATACATCCATACATATATG